CAGCGAGCCTTTATCAAAGGCATCCTTCCATGTGAAGGTTAAGCAGAGCTGAGGAAACAGAGAGACACTTTGTTTTAAGTTGTTTTTGTTTGGGAGCTAGTCCAGGCTAGTGTGTGCTGCAGTGTGATCAGTTACCTGGTTTTCAGAGAAGGGAAACTTGGGCTCGACAGAACACAGTTGGTCATAGTATCTGGAGAGAGAAGGAAATGGTAGGATTAAAGAATGTTTTTTATGCATCTAAAACCCAAACATACTTGCTCGTATTGCTTTTTAAAGTTCATAAGTCATTTGAAATTCATGTTTACTGCTAGTTAAGTTTGAAAAAAGGGAGATAAAAGACATTGAAACAGAAACTCAGTGAGAGGGAAGCGGATACGATGACATAACAGCAGATCTGAGTAAGCTCTGCCATTTCAGAAACACTCAACAATGAGTCAGGAAAAAATATCTGGCACGTTACTTGTCTAATGTCTACTATTTGTCGGTATCTTTCCCTGTGATGTGAACTGTCTATTATTAGAAATGACAAAATGCAGTTAGGGAATCCCCTTTTACCAGTTCAACCACCCTACTCTCCACTGCCAGTAGAAATGGGAGTGCAAACATCAAACATAAACAAACAAACGTTATATATAGAACTACAAACACTTAAAGTTTGTTATCCTTCCCTTTCAGATACAGAAGACCAAACACATGAACAGAGGAAACATGAGAGGAGATGAGTCTCCCGGTTAACTAAAGACGAAAAGAAACCTGCTTGGTCAAAACAATGGTCACCATGGTGACATAATGGCTGTGTGTCAACGCAGCTTTGAAAAGGATAGGGCCAGTCGCCCTGGCTACCTGAAACATGGCTGACAAGACGACATGTGTGCAGAAAGCCAAGGAGAGGCGATACCAGCAGACAGAAATGGACACGGCAAAATGGAGGTGGAGCTTGCATTAATCTTTCAGATCCTGTGATTTTCAAGCAGCACTAATCACATAATTTTAGAGCTTCTGATTGTATTTCTCATGGTACGACATGAAAATTGTATTTCAGGATGAGTGTGATTCAAAATCTTATCTGAGAAATCATCAAAATATGCATAAAACTCTTAAAATAGCAGTAAAACATATTTGAATAACTTCGGCTTACATTTAGTTAAGATAATAATAGTTGCATTGCTTCACAGATAGGACAAATCTCTTTAGGGAACATACTTTTTCAGTGACAAACAATCTTAAATAAGGTAATCCAGCTAATGGAAATTCTCCACAAACATATTTTGTGTTTTTATCACAGTCCCATCATCCCATGACAACAACTTGTCTCCAAATACAAATGTTGATACCTCAAATCAGGTTGATAGGTTCTCCCTTTTCCCCCTAAATTTAGATTTGGTATTAGGATCATTTCTATGTATGGGTAATATGAGTTCAGAGATGGTAATGAGATTCAAACTGGGGCAAATATCTTTGTTGGCATTGTGGATCAGTGCAGGCCCTAACATAAACATGAACTGGCTGAAACTTAGATTAGAAGCATTTATTAGAATCTGAAGCTGATCACGAGACATTGACCACTAATCCATGACGTCACAAGTAGAGCATCTCAGGAAAGCTATACAAAGTCACATGAGTAAAAAACAACCTCTTTGTGTTAAAGGTAAGTGGATGTCCTGCTTTCGTCCAGTTAGCTGCACTATTGGCCTTTTTGACACAGCACCTCGTGAGTATCATTTTAATATCTAAAGAGCCTCAATTTTGGCACTTGCTTGACAGTTCCACTTTGCACTGCGGCTGGAAACGGCTCACAGGAGAGAAAAAAATTGAAGACCATCAACCTTCAAATGCATAGCTATCTGACGTAATCTGGGCAAACCCTGTGCATTAAATAACTCATGAGTCATAGAGAACAAAGACTGACATGGGAGAGAGTAAAGTCTGCATTTATATGTTACCTAGGAAATCAGTATGTTGGTTACTTTAGCAATAGTGCCGAGTCATAACTTTTGTATATGTCCTAATAATTGCATTAGAGAAATGTGGCAGTCAACAACAGCCAGGCAGGGTTAATGGAGCCTGGACAGAGGCACTTTGTTTATTTATCATAAATCCTGTTTCTGACCAGGTTCCTCTATGCAAAGTGGTTGTCACTGTGACATTTTACAGCCAGGGTAGGCCTTCTCTATGGATCACTTCTCCATGAGTTTCCTTACTTCGGAGTCAACTACACACACATCCGTTAGGCTTTATCTTATTCATGTATGTTTGCTGATATGAAAAGCTATTGTTCTATTTTTTTTAACACCCTTAAATGTCTGATCATGTGGCTAGTGGCTACCAGTAAACTGAAGGCCTTGACCTAATATGGCCCGATTGTGACTGACGTCTGACAGAGGAGCCAGTTGTGAATGTCTCCCTGGTGCTGTGTGACTTAATGTATATAGTTTTTTGGTATATCTATATTTCATGTAAATATGTATCTGTATTTAAATCTTATACTCGTTGTTTTTTTTAAAATAATTGCTATAATTGTTTTTGATCGTTTTTCTTACAATTTATCTTTAACTGTCTTTATGTATGTCCATAATACACCAAGGCCAATGCCTACTTGGCAATAAACCTGTTTCTGATTCTGTTGCTCTTAGTGTCTTTCATTTTTGTAAAGCTTCTTGAATTGCCTTGTGTTGAAATGTTCTATATAAATACACTTTCCTTGCTATTTAAGTTTATGTGAGTTCTTTGTTTCACAATGAGTTTAAATAAAGTTGAACTTTGAAGCTAATTCTAATGCTAAGGTGAACCAGGTACACTTTACTTGGAGTCACCTCAGTAAATAAGACCAAGCTTAACTAGCTCGGCTAACATGGCTTATTATTATTATTTCAAAAGTAACTGGCAGTTCAGTTTAAGACGTAAAAAAACAGTCTCGGTGAGCCTCCTAAGGAAACTTGGCATGAATATCACATGAGTCAGTCATTATGGTGAGAAATGCTTCCTAGCATTTAGCTTGACTAAGTTTAGCTCCCAACTTAGCAACTAAATGCTAACACATCTGGGTGCGGCAATGACTTGGCTTTCTCACCGCGACAGATGAGCCGGTTGCTATGGGTGAATATAATAATGGTATCTATGTCAGGTTTGATATAAACCATGTCTTTACCTGAGCAGTATCTCCAAGGAGCTCTCATGTTTGTCCAGCGGCCTTCCCAGGGCGCTCTTGCGGAGCTTGTTCAACTCCTCCACGGAGCGCAGATACTCCGCCTGCTCCTCGCCAGCTGGATATGTGGCTGTGACAAACTTCGACAGAGGTTTCACCAGCTCCACCTCAGAGGACTTTTTTAACGGGACTGAAATAAAAGTCGCCATTTCGCCCCCGTGAAAGCGCTGTATTAAATCAGAAAAACAGAGACGACCAACGAACACAAACAACAGCGAACGACCCACTTCCTGGTTTCTGACAGGGAACGTCAGATTACGTCATGGGAAACGGAGAGCTGCCCCGCGCAGAATCAGTATAGCTTTAATGAGAAATGGACTACAATGAAGGAAAATTAACTATATCTCCTCACAGACACAATCTTTTTATTCCCACGGAATTGGCCCGATTCACCAATTAAGGGGTCCATGTGTAGAAAAAGATTGTAGGCCTATAAACTCCCTGTTCCTTTCAATGTTCAGAATCATAATCAGAATGCCTTCATTAGTTCCACAGAGGGGACATTTACATTGTTGCAGCAAAGTAAAGAGGCAAAATAGCAAAATAAGAGGCACGCATAAAATATTAGAGATAGCAATGACACAAATTACAATTTACAAAAGTACCCATCCAGGTGGACAACAATAAGTACAGTAACAGCAGCCTGTCACTGAAGGAGCTGCACAGTGTTTGTGTAATTTGTACAGCATACCATGCCAGAATATGACATGACCCCTGGTTTGCAGCGAAGATATCTGATTGAACACACATCATTTAGCAATATATAGCATTAGGCACGCACCACCATACAGTATAGGCAGATGTAACGTGAACCTTGGGCCTGGAGTCTCGGGCAGTTGCCTACTTTGCCAAGTTAGGGACCAAGCAATATGCACCGTATAAGCACAGCATTTGTTCAATGAATATTAAACCAGATGTACAATTAAAAAGGCTATTAACTGGATGAGCTGTGAAACAGCATACTGTATACACTCAATGGTAAGCCCTTTGAGAAATTCAGGTAACACTAACTGCTGTACAGATAATTTTCAATTTTTCTGTCATGTCTGATAATTGATTTCTTTCACAGCTGTTTACACTTCTCACCCCAGTTGTGATTTACCCACTGGGACAAATGCTGAAGTGAAAATGTGCATGATTCAGGGTCTTTAACATCTGTTTTGGGAGACATTTGGCAGGTTATTATGGCGCTCTCAATCTGTTCGACACACTATGCAAATCATTTTACTGGCATATAATTGTCCTGCAACAAAAGAAAACTCTCTGTCAGCAATACCAAAACAGCCATTGTTAAGACCAAATATGAGTTTCCTAAATAGCCAACAAATGCCTTTATGGCTCATTAAGAACAAAGATATAGGTCCTTTAGAATCACAAAGGCCATAAAGTGTACTTGGATTATATTTTAAGATGTTCTTGTCAAATGAGCACTCCACTTCCAGGGTGCTACTTAGCCTGTGAACACAGTAGTATAATGTCCCTCGCAGCTTTTAAGGAGCTCTCCAAATCTGAGAAATTATGAACAGGGTTTTTTTGCACTTGTAGTGGGATGTAGCCAAGTCCATTTACTCATGTACTGTACTTTAGTACAACAGTAAGGTAATTGTACTTTACTACTTTTACATAATGCTACTTGATGCTTTTACTCCACTACATTTTGAAGGCACAATTTATTTTTACTTCAATACATTTATTTTACAGATTTAATTACTAACCCAACCATCTTGAATCAAAAACAACTATGCTAAAGTTTAAAATATTCAAACCGAGGAATAGAATACACTATGACACCAGAGAAAGTTATGAAATCATTTATTCCCAGCACATGTGGTTGTGTACATCTCCAGCATACGATACTGTGCACATGAGAAGCATCATCATTGACATTAGGCTGTACATGAACAGTGGTCACCTCTCCTGCTCACTCTCACACACACACTCAGTCACACAGACAGAAAGGGGACCAAAACTGCTCACCAGAGGTTTTCCTGACTTGGCATCACATCTGCTCTGTTTCTGAACACAGTTTACTGTGCTGTGGTACTTGTGTCCTTGTAAACACCACAAGAGCTACAGTCCTGGCTCTGGCGCACGGTTAGACAAAAACACAGATGCTGGACATTCTTCTTTTTTTTGTTCTCCTTCTTATAGGCAGGTAAGAAACGGGTGTGGCTGTTGGACTACTGACTACACATCGAGCTTGAGTTTATTAATTTCTCAGTGCAGACTTGGTCTCTAATATGGAAAAACAAGGAGGTGTTCCACTCAACAAGGACCGAATTAACCCTCCCACCCTCCTTTCCCCGTCTTCAACATGCTCTTTTACTAAACAGCAAGCTAAACACAGTTTCATCATACCAACAGGAAAAAGTTTATGACAACTACCGACAATTCAGTTATCTTTGCAAGAACTAAAAAAATGATACACATGCACACACGCACATTCTGACACTAAGAGGCGTGCAAACGGTATGAACTTCCAACACGGCCGGCGACTGTGTACCAAAATTAAAATGGGGTCAACTAAACCAACGGCGACTAGGAGGACCTGTGTGAAATGTAATGTCACTAAGGGCACGCGTGACTGAAAACACTTTTTTTAGGATTTGTAGAGGACTGCTGTGGTGGGTTGCTTCTTGCTAAGCAGACCCTCGAATGAAGGGTTTATTACTATGAATACAAAAGTGCCTCTGATGACCAGGATGTAGAGCCAATGAGGCTTTTCAAAATAACTACATGACTACAAATCTGAAACCCGTTTGGTCCACATTATAGAAGTTGTTGGATTGGTGTTAATGCTCCACATGTCAATCTTCTATTTCAGCATATTATGGCCAAAATCCCAACAGGCGTTACCCGCACTCCTCCTAACCAGTGTTTTTAAAGTCAGCACAGAAAGCAGAGGAGACGAGGTGCACCTGCACTGTGTTTGTGAAAGTGAGCAAAAGGTAGAGCTAAAAAAAGCCAATATGGCACCGGATCCATAAATAAAGCATCAACTAAAAACAGTAAAAGCGCAGGCCGAGCTGGACGTACATGAAGAGAGTCGAGCCGAGTGTGACGTCAACACAGAGATATGGCTGGAGGTCTAAAATCACAAAAGGATTACTCTATGTGACAAGAGTTTATCCATATGACAAAGTCCAAGAAACATGACAAAAAAATAAGTTTGGTGTCAACGTCCACAGGTGACGCCAATATTTCAGGGGTTCCCAAGCTCAGCTGATCATTAAATTGTTTATTAAGACAACCCCGTGGAGAATGTTAAACAAGCAGATTTTGGGATTCTCATTTAAGCAGGTTAGTACATTGAGATCGCATGCTGTTCAGCAGTACATGTTATCAAATACTGGCCTAGTGCTGGTTGTGCGCGTTGTGCAAGAGGGGCAACGAGCAATAAGGAAACTCGGCTTTCTTTCCTTCTCCCGCCAGCCAGACTGCTCTCTCCCCTCTCTGCTGAAGCCCCCCCTCCCTTTAGCCCGCAGAAACCATATAAAAAGACAAAAAATAAAATAATAAAATCAAAATACATACATCATTATCACCCCCCTCACCCTGTATCCCCCCAGTCTCTCGTCTTAACTAATCTCCTCAGTTAATAGTGTTTTCAATATGAAACAGTGGACACACCCATGTCAGATTCTAACATTTACATGGCTTTAAGCGCAGTCTGACTGCTTCCCAACGAGCGATTGTTTGGAGAGACCGGGAGGAAGTACGAGGAAAGAGTAGAGGCAGGCAGAGAGGGACAGAGGGAGGCTTCTGCTCCAAAACAGAGTGTGGAGTATTAGTGATGCCATCTGTCCTCTCCACTACTTCAGGATTAGATGGAGTCCTTCGCCCAATTCATCTGGAGAGGAAAGAATAAGTGCATTAAATTATTTTCAAATAAGCAATCTATTAGGGCTTGTTACATACAGGCCCAATTATAATGAAGAGAGAAGGCGAATGATGCATCATGAGCTCACCTTTGACAGTGCTGATCAAAAAACAGCTTTCGTCAGGCAAGTTGTAAACCATCTGGAAAAGACAAAAAAAATAATTAGTAAAAATGTGGCTGATCATCAAATGTCCCCACCGCGGTATAAATGAATACATAGTGTTTACTTGTGTGAGTGGTGACTGACAGAGTTAGGAGAGGCTGTCATAAAAGCAGGAGTGATAAAGTAGACTGACAGTGTGTGTGTGTGTGTGTGTGTGTGTGTGTGTGTGTGTGTGTGTGTGTGTGTGTGTGTGTGTGTGTGTGTGTGTGTGTGTGGATGTAAATGACATGCAAATATTTTATCTCTGTCTCTGTACAGAACCTCCTATCGTAGTCCTGCCATTTACTCTTGCTAATCTAGTACGTTGCCCCTTCTCATTTGTATCTATGTTTTTAGTAGATTTAAAAAAGAAAAAACGATTTGCCTTCATTGGATTTCAGCATCTTGAGGGCCAACCATGGCTTGTATTGCAAGTTTAAGAAAACATTCACAGGAAGTGTAGTTCAATTATATCATATCATTATATTTGCAGTGTGGCATAGATAGCAGCTGCACGAAATGCATCTCAAAAGCTGAGCTAGCAGGGTGTCGATAAGTATCCATCCATGTTTTGAGTGTATCCCAGAGTTTAGATTTTTTTTATTAAAACATCCCTCTTGATAAAGAGCTCTGTACAGCTGAGAGTGGTACTCTACGTTCTATAAAGTGCTATTGGAGAGGAACAGTGTGTGTGTGTGTGTGTGTGTGTGTGTGTGTGTGTGTGTGTGTGTGTGTACCTGGTCACTGAGCAGGATGTGTATGCCTGTAGGACCCTGTCTGTACACCTGGTTGATGGTTCCCAGTGGAAGGCTGCACACACATGCCATCTTGCGGATCAGTTCTGCAGCTGTGAGCTCCTCTAGATACAGAGCATGATAAACTGTACAGAAACAGAGCAGATAAAGACAACATGTTAATAATATCCACACACTGCAACACTCCATAGACTAATACTATCAGCTGCAATGACTAGTTTGATAAACAATAGTTAAAGTAAAAGGTTTTTTAAAAAATGCTGTTTTCATCCTCAAATGTGGACATTTCCTGCTTTTCTGTGTTTGGACTGAAAATACATCATTTTAGGCTTGGATGAACATTTTGTACTATTTTGAGATTTTATAGACCAAACAATTCCTCAAGGAAATCACAAGCAGATTGTAAATATTGGAAAGGATCTATGCCCTACGTAAAGGAGTGTTACACTGCAGTCAAACACAGGGCTTGTTTACCGTGTAAACTAGAGGAAATGCTGTGATCTCCATTTTCATTGGTTGCATGTCTCTCCAGTAGGGGGCTCTCCTGGGGGGACTCCTGACAGACGTACACTGTCAACCTGGGACGCACTGACCTACACACACACATCATAATTTATGCAATGAAACACAGTGACAACTTCATAATGGTCATAGAAGTGTACACAAGAACAACAACCGACACACACACACTTAATTACACACCTGGATTTAAGTGCATTGAAGAGTCTGATCCCATCTGCTGGCCCACAAATCTGGACCAGGTCGTCCCGGGTTAGCTTCAACAAATCAGAACCTGAGCAACAAGTAAGAGGAGCGGTCACTTCTCTGCAGCTGATACAACATCACACACATGCTTTGGTGTTTTTTGACAGAGTGTGTACTGTGTACCTGAGAAGTGTGAGAAGAGCCTTGTGTAGGAGTTGAAGCGATTTTTCAGCAGCCACTTCTGTGCGTCCTGTATGGAGGCGGTGGGGCTCAACTGCTGCAGGACCACACACACACACACACACACACACACACACACACACACACACACACACACACACACACACACACACACACACACACACAAATAATACAGTACTGTACAGTCGCTGAAAGACCGGTTCTGTGTCGTGTACTCCGACATAATCATTAGTATTTCCCTTTTTTTTTATAACGCCTCAAAAGAATGTGATAGAGGAGAGAGAGAGAGAGAGAGGAGAGAGAAGAGAGTACGAGTAGGAGAGAGAGAGGCGGAGAGAGAGAGAAAGACACCACTAGTCACGGTCGTTAGACTTCGCCACATCACCCAACCACCGGTAATTAACACAAAGAACACAAGAATCACTTACAGGAGTGGGTGTAGTGGTCGCTCGGGACCATCGGTACCGTTGAGCCTCCGAAATAAGAGGTGGGATGAGTTGACAACTTAACCACCTTTTCCATTTAATTTATTTTTAAAGTGAACAATCTACATCATAGGGATATTTTCAGTTGTAAATATTTGTACATGGCAATGACATAATAAACACACACAACACACACACAACACACACACACTACACACACACACACACACA